GTGCAACCTGCCTGCACACAAATGAGAGGCTCAGTGGCCAACACTGACGGCAGCATCCTTCCGCACAGGTCCAGGTTCCGAAATCGAAAGGTTTAGGCCGAGGATGGCAGTCACTCTCTAAGGTAAATGTCCCTTTGTGTGACCTCTTTACATACAACACCCCAGCCTCACCTTCTTTCAAGCTTCTGCACAAGGCAGGGCAGGACAGTTGGGGGCTGTTTAGGAACAGAGGCTAAGGCCCAGGTTGGGGACAGTGGGGATTCAGGGAAGGCCGCACCTGGCTGGGTAAGAGTGCCCTGGCTCAGGAGAGGTGGCCACAGGCTGGGTTAGACTGGAGGGACTGCAGGCTGCTACCACATTCTCTGTAACATCTATAAGGTTACTGGGATCTTTTTAATCTAATATTCAAGTACCTTCATCATAAACAATGTGGGTATCATGCAGTCAGCTAACATTGACTGAGCACCATGTGCCAGGCACTGTACAAGGCTGGGATGGGGCCATACAAACATAGTGGCATCCAAGTGCTCTGACAGCTGGAACTCGGGGGGCACCATAGAAAGGCACCTGCCCCAGTGGAGGGAAGGCTTCCAGGAGGAGGTGGTGCTGCTCAGGACCCAAAGTCCTGGGAGAAGAGGTCTGATTGGCTGCTGATTGAAGCATCTTTAATGACAATTCCACCAAAACTGAATCCAGGGGAGAAGAGGGGAGACCCTAAAGGGAACGAAGGCTGTCAGGAGGAGGAGTGAATACTGCACAGGCCAAAACAAAGCAAAGCAGACTGTGGTCCATGTTCACTGCCATCATTCTCGGGACTTCCCTGGCCGCCCTTACCTGGAATTTGGATTTAGAACCTGTCTGTCTGTCTCACCTTTGTTAGATGTGCATTTCTTTTGTTTCCATTTTAGCAAATTTGAAAAAAATTAAGTACACAAAAAGAAAATAATTACTTCTAGTCCCAACACCTAAATTAAACACTGTTAACATTTTGGCAATTAGTTTCCTATCATTTCCCCACATACATCACCTCCCCCCATTAATGAATAATAAATTGTTTTCAATCATTTGCTTTTCAAAACAACTGCCTAGAACAATCTGGTAGAAGGTTGATGGTTATAATGGATGGATGAGGCTGACACCGCCCAAACTGTCTGATCAATTTTAACATCACTAAAAGTGGACAACCAGACGTTAAGTGCCTCCTACAGAGATGCAACAGAAGTACATGGCACCGACCATGAAGCCTTCTTGCAAAAACACTGAACCTGAATCTAAAGAACCTTCAGATCTAACCACCAGTTTACAAGAACACTGGGGATGGAGGAATATGTTCAAGACACCCCAAAGCTGTCAGCCAAGTCCAGAATAAAGACAGATTCTAGAGGAGGAATGACTTGGTTTCTTCAACAAATAAATAGCATTTGAAAGGGGTTCTCTATTATAGATTTAAACAGATTTAAGACATTTCAACCAAATGTAATGTGTGGTAATTTTTTAATCCTAATTCAAACAAAACAACAGTAAAAAGAAATTTTTGAGACAGAAGATTGAACACAGACTAGATATTGGATGATATCAAGGCCAATAAGTAGAGGAACATAATGAAGTGTTTACAGGCAAGATGATAGGATGCTGAGATTCACATTAAAATACTCAAGCAAAAAAAAAAAAAAAGGAAGGGAGACAGGGAGAGGGAACAAAAGTGGGACAGACAGGGAGTAGTTGAAAAAAGAATGGCAAAAATACTGAAGTTTTGAAGCTGAGTGATGGGTAAAAGGGGATTCATTTTTTTTAATTCTACTTAAGGTATGTTTGAAAATATCCATAACAAAATGTTTTTAAAGCTTGCAATAAAGATTCACCTATGTGTCCCTCCATCAGTGTGACTGCTTCTTTAGGTTAAATACCTAGAAGTGGAATTATCTGAATGCAAGGAATGAGAATTTTAACCTTGACTCAAAATTGCCAAATTTCTTTCCAGGTGTTTGTAATGAGGGGGTTCAGGACACATGGCTCCTTGGGTATACTATTTTAGGCTGAAGGAATTTGAGAAACAGCAGGCGCAGGGTGGACTTCCTGACCTTCCCCTGAGGCAGGTCATAGAACCCTCACAT